AATCATTGACCTCTTAGCTCTCAGATTTCTCAGTTTTAAAGAGAAGGGCCCAGGAACTGGCTTCTTTGGTTTTCTAAGATCTCCAAAGCTTTTTTTTTTTTTTAAAGAATAGAAGTCACATTTTTCTTTTATCTCTAGAAGAATCATAGAGATGTTGCTAAAGAGTTGATAAATAATGACTTATGGGTGTTATCCACTGTGTTACCCAAACCTTACCAAACAGATGAAGATGGAAATTGCTTCCTCTAGTATGAGTCCTGGTGTGGTCCTGTAGGATAAGCACTGGATCACATGGTTGGTTTGAACTGCAAGATTGGTGGTTCAAGCTCATCAGTCGCTTCTCGTAAACTCTCTGCACGGTTACTATGAGTCGGAACAGACTAGATGGCACTTAACATCGACTAGCATCATGATTGTTATTGTTACCGCTAGTTGCCTTGTAGCATCCTCCCCTCTGCTCTTGGATAGCACTCATGGATAGCACATGCATAATGAATCCAAATTCTGCCTGACCCTGAACCATGACAGTTGTGAGTGACCCACAGGGTTTTCAGTGGAGGATTTTCGGTAGTAGATTTCCAGATCTTTCTTCTTAACCCATCTTAATCTGGAAGTGCCTGTGAAATCTGTTTGTCATCAAACACACAAGCCTCTATAGAATGCACTGGTTTGGAATTGAACCCCGATTTCCCTCATGGAAGATGAACATTCTACCATTGAACTACCTGTACTATCTAGACTCAGATTGCTGAAATACAGTTATAGAAATCATTTCCATTCTGAGGAAAGTAGTCTGAGAGGGCCAAAGACAAATTAGGCACCTACTCCAACTCCATGGCCAAATCCCTGTTGCTAATCTCAGTAATCTTTCAAGTGCTGCCTATGTGCTCCACATTATTCCCAAGTTTCTCAGTTGTTCAAGGTCAGGCCAAAGCTAGAGCCAACTGATTTATTGCTACCATGTAGGACTCCTGGTGTGGCGCTGTAGGATAAACACCGAACTGCTAACCACAAAGTCAGTGGTTCAAAGCCACCAGCTGCTCTTTGGAAACCCTATACAGGACAGACTCAATGGCACTTAACAACAACAATATTCTCTTCATTGCTCTTCCCAGATGCCCTTATCCCATCAAAGCCCTACCCCACATTTCTTCAAGGCTCAGCTCTTGTGCCACCTACTCCAGGAAGCCTAATCTTGCCTTCCTTGAAAGTCCATACTTTATCTCCCTTGCTGGAATGTAGGCATTTTGGTAGTAGAACTGCTTATCTTTGTTAAGTCTAAATTGTCCAGACCGGTGACTTTTATAAAGTGGTGGTTGTTAAGTGTTCTTGAGTCAGTTCTGACTCATAGATACCCTGCATAGAGTTTCTTAGGAGTGGCTGGTAGGTTTGAAGGACCAACTTTGAAGTTAGCAGTCCAGTGCTTATCCTACAGTGCCACATCAGGACTTCTTTATAAGGTAAAAGACTTAAAAACAAAACAAAACTGGAATCTATTAAGCCCTCCCCTTTTGTTGTTGTAGGTGTTGTGGAGTAGTTTCTGACCCATAGTGCCCTGTGTGGGGTTGTGTAGGAGCGGCTAGGGGGCCCTTAGTGGTTCCACGATTCCTTCATCCAGTATTGAAGAGTGAATTAAATTAAAAAAAAAAATTTTTTTTTTTTAGGACATAGGGTTGATATAATTTCTCTTGAAGTAGTTTTGGGCCTTGAATCCACATTACTGAATTATATATTTAACTGATGTCTTCAGTGAGAATTCAGCATTGCTTTGGGGTCTGATGACGTTACACATTTATAAAAGAAATAGCAGAGACAGTGCTTTTGCTTACATGAACCTGAGACAGAGACCCTGAGTTAAATACAAGGGGGTTTGAAAAGTTTTGAAGACGAATTTCATTATCTTTTGATTCTAATTTTTCCATGAAATTTTTGAAGTCTTGTATTGATTGGTCTCTAGGCCCCATTACTTCTTCCCTCTGGAAAGATGTCATCTTGTTGTTAGGTGCCATTGAGTCTGTACTGACTCATAGCGACCCTATGCACAGCAGAACGAAACACTGCATGGTCCTGGGCCAATCTCACAATTGTTGCCACGCTTGAGCCCACTGAGCCCACTGATGCTGCCACTTTGCCAATCCATCTTGCTGGACGTCTTCCTCTTTTTCTCTGACCCTCCCACCTTACCAAACATGATATCCTTCTCCAGCGACTGGTCACTCCTGATAATATGTCCGAAGTGTGAGAAAGATGTCTTCCCTCTGGAAAGACTTCATAAAGGGAGCCAAACACACATTTTCCCCCACCTCCTCTTTTGATTTTCAGTCAAGGTTGACTCTGGGATTTGGATTTAAATGTGATTTATTTTAAATGTGAAAGCAAATCTATGTGCTTCCCTCAGTTCATTTATTCATCCATTCACTTGATCCTGGAATATCTGAGCTTTGTGTAGGGACCAATCAGCAGCTGATAGACTGTCACTTAAAGGGTCAGAGGCAGCAAAAGCAGATGCACTCAGAAATGCTCTTGGGGGCGAAGGAGGCTCTTTCAAGAAGTAGGGCCCATTTGCAGAAAAAGGCAGCAAGGAAAATCACTGGTGGCAGCTGATTAAGACAAACAGGAAGAGACAGGCTTGCCACAAGCTTCTATACATCTTTGGGTTTGCAAACTTCAGGCAGATGAAACTGTTTCAGGTGGTTTGGGATTTACACCTAGAGTGCATGCTAGTGAGTTCCCCATCACCATGCCACTCTTTATATGTGTCATGCCAACCAAGAGGAGGGTGCCAGGGTAGGTGCATGAGAGTAACTCAAACTCACTCTTCAAATTTCCAGCAGTTTCTTCATGCATATTTGTCCCAGTCATCTGCTGAAGCAGAATACAGTAACGCGTCCCTCAGCTTTCCCATTACTTAGTTTTCTGCAATGAAATCCTAATTAACTTTTTAAAAAATAATCTAAAAACCCCATCTGAGGAGAATCTTTCCTCCTTGCACGTCTCTGGGACTATGCGTTTTAATTTTATTCTTCATATTTTCATCAGTCTTGCATTTGGAGGTAATGCTGTGCTTATAAAAACATTTTTATCCTCTACAAGTTCTCTTTATGTTTAATGAATACATTAAACCTACACTGATTTTCCGGAAGCTGCTTGGCCTTAGTGTTATTAAAGGGGGGTGAGTGTGAGGAAAAAACACACATTTTTATTCTTCTTTTAAGTTTTAAATGAAAACTCTGTTTTGATAAGAAAATGGAGCATTGTTAACCTAGCGAAAAGCTCTTCCTTGTCTTACTTCCCCACGTCAGAGCAATGCGCTCTTATATGCTCCATAGTGTACCGGGACGTTGGCAATGTTGCACTTAACTAAGTCTATAAACCGCTCGAAAAAATGAAAATAAATAAACAGCCAAAATAGGGGGTTGGGGCTAAGAAGGAGCTAGACTCAGTGTGTCAGCAAACAGACTAATTTGTTTTACAAAGGTATTCTTTCTGCTACTGCAAACTACCCATTTGGCTAGGAGACTGAAAGGTCCGTTCGGCTGGGGTCTGGGGCCGGGATGGGGGAAGGGCCTGGCTTGTCCATGATTTGTCCTTTGGTTGGAGTCTACCCAGGCCGATTTGTAGCTGGGAGAATGGGCGGGTTGGATCCCATTCTAGGAGAGAAAGCCGATGGCCCATCGTGAGGGATCGTAAATCGGTGGACAGCTAGGCACTAGGTCCCAACACTTGCTAAGCGTCCCCGCATTTCCACCTCTACTCGGCGCCTTTTAATTCACCTTGGTTTAAACCCCAGAGACAGGGTGACGCGCTGGAGCCGGAGGCCACGATGTTTGGGGGATCCGCGGGACGTCGGATTAATCTTCCCGACACCTAGGGCTGTTGGAGATGAGAAGGGCGCAAGTCGGGCGGGGGCTGCGGAGACGGAACTCCGCGCTGCAAACCGCCACCGCCCTGGCCTCAGCCAGAGATTAGCAGCCCGACGAGTCCCTCCCTCTTTCTCGGTTGAATGAAAGATTAGTCCAACAAGCACCTCCCTGCCCCTGTCCACCGAGGTTGGAAGGGAGGAGTCTCCGAGCGACTGCAGCTCTTTTAAAGGGCGAAAAGAGTCCTCTTCTGTGCATTTATTAATCACCCTTGAGTGTCGTCCCAGCGCCTGTCCTCTTTGGTGTAAGGACTCGCACACATAAGCAAACAACAGGGATCTCTAAGGCCACTTTTCCCTTGGTTGGCTCAGCCCACGAGTCCGTTGTTGCGCCCTCGCCAGAGAGAATCAGAGCAGGGCATGAAAAGTTGCAGGGCTTCTCCAGACTCCCGTTTGTCGCTCTTTCCCAAAGCTGGGGCAGTCGGCGTGAGCGAGAGTAGCTCAGCATCCCCGGTGTGGCGGTAGCTCTCCCGGGAAACGGAGAAGGCGCCGCGCGCGCCTGGAGGTGGAGAGGCGCCTTGCCCACTCTGCTCCGCACCTCCGGGGCCGGTGACCTCCCTCGAAAGCCTGGGGAGCGGCCGGGACGTGTCCCCAGTGAGGGGTTCCCGCAGTCCTTCCTGTACCGGGGCGCCCCCAGCGGGTTCAAAGAGGCGGCCGGTGCGCCTCTGGCTCTAGCGCCGGAGCGAGCGTGCGCGCCGGCCGGGCTGAGAGCCGGCGGGGCGGGCAGGGGGTGGGGAGTGCAGGAGTGGAGGACTCAGCGGCAGCGGCAGCGGCAGCGCCCGGGGCTGTAGCTGCAGCCCGAGCGGCGGCGGCGGCGGAGGAGGAGGAGCGGCGGTGCGAAGTCCGCAGCGATGGTGCTCCACTTGGTCAGTTTCCTGCAGCTGCGACACCCCCTCCTCCCGGCCCCCTCTCCAGCGTGGAGAGACTAAGGCGCGGCAAGCAACTCCCTAAAAAAAAAAAAAAAAAGAAGCCGCATTGGACGAGTCTGGCTGCAGGACCCCTCCTCCCTGCGCGACCCCCACCCCTCGCCTCCCCCTCCCGCCGTTTCTCGTCTACAACACCCCCCATCCCCCCGGCTCCCGGGCGCCCGCCTCCCTCTTTCGCGGACTGTCTCCTGACACGCCGGCTGAGAGCCCTTTTTGACTGCGAGCCGAGGGAGCGGAGCAGAGGCGGCGGCGCGGGACCTGCAGTCGCCCGGGATTCCCTCCAGGTGACGATGCTCTGGTTCTCCGGCGTCAGGGCTCTGGCTGAGCGTCCCTGCCGGCGCTCGCCCGGGATTACCTGCTGCGTCTTGCTGCTGCTCAATTGCTCGGGGGTCCCCATGTCTCTGGCTTCCTCCTTCTTGACAGGTAGGGGAGGGGGCGGGAGGGATTGGTCCTCCCCGACGTTGGTTTAGTACCTGGGAGAAGAGGCACTGGCTTGCCTCGGGGGTGGGAGGGTGAGGAGCGCGCACCTTGGCGCCTGCCCCTCGCTGGCGGGATGGAGATGAAGCAAAGCCCGGGAGGTAGGGGAGTCTGAAGGTTGTGAGCCGGTTTAGAGGTTGAAGGCTGAGTGGCTGTAGACTTCAATGAAGTGATAAAGATAATAGAAATTCTTTCACATTAAACTTGGAAGTTGATTGTAGCATGTTTCTCAATTCTTATTTTAATCACTTCTCCCCGTATTACAATGAAGGGAAACATTTACACCTTTTTTATGTACACACTCCTTTCTGTCCCTATAGGGTTCAGTATCCCTTCTGAGCTAAGAGCGCTTTTTAAATCACCCGTTTTCCAGACCTTGAATTTAAAGAAACCATAATATTAAAAAAGGATAATAATCGCAGGATATAATAATTATATGTTTTCAGGCAGGTGAAGACCTCAGCTGGTATTCTGAAGGACATACTTTACTGACACCTGGTGCAGAAAAGAAAATATAGAGTCCATTTCTAAGAGTAGAGAAAGGAGGATTGTGTTTCAGAAAGTGATTTCAACCCAAGACAATATAAGGCAGGACCATCTAAAGGCCTGTTCATTGACAGCCCTGAATTTTGTTCAAATTGAAAATCTGCCATAATAGCAAATTTGATTTATTTGTATTTAGTATAAATGCATTTATAACAGAGGAATATTATTAAAGATACAGTAAAATCCTTGGAATTGTGCTTAAACCACCTGAGGAAGAAAAAAAAAAAAAAAAGAAATCTATTTCTATACAACTTGTACGAATAAAACTATATGAAATGGATTTTTTTAAAGTGAAAGATTCTTTGGGTGTTGGATCATTTAAAATTCAAAAAGCATTTCTGCAATTCAGTATCATGGTTTTAAGAGGATTAGTGTAAAACTTTAAATGTTTGTAGTTATATTGCTAAGTTTAAAATAGTTCCCCCTACTTCACTTCAGGTTCCGTTGCGAAATGTGAAAATGAAGGCGAAGTTCTTCAGATCCCATTTATCACCGATAACCCTTGCATAATGTGTGTCTGCTTGGTAAGTGTGGAGATCGATTTCAGCTACACCCTCTCATGAGATAAATCCATGAAGTGTTGTAATAAAACCAGATCTTAAAAATGTCATTCAGTCCTTACAAAGCTGCGCATAGTAGGTATGTAACAATCATTTATGAATTGAATTCAGTGGAATTTATGAGTTTTATAGACTTTGGCACATACCAGTTTCATCACACTGGGAATTCTTAGCTTTGCCATATGGTCACAGAAGTAAATTGAAGATGGACTTTGTATAACTTTGTCTCAGTAGTAATTACAATGTGCAATATCTATTCCCAGTAATGGCTACTGTGCCAAATCATAGCTGCTGGCAAACTTTCTGCCTGGGTTCTGTCTTTTGAGCTCAGCAGGAAAATAATGAGATAACATTTAGATATAAAGGTCACAGATAAGATACATGGCTAAGGGAAAAGAGGTGATTAGTCAGAAAGGACAAAAATGAAGACAAGATAAAATCTTAGATTTTTTTTTTTTTTTGGTCTGTTCTACCCTACAATCTCAAATACAGTCTTCTTTTCTGATTTGAAAGAATTCATCAAAAAGAACAATTCTTTCCTTAACTGGAAATGTCACTTGGCTGCCAGCTACGTAGTTAACACTGTCAGTGGTTAGTAGATTAAAAACAACAGCAACAACAACAACAACTTGATTTATTTTAGCTTAATAGTTAATAAGTCTATTTATTAAGTAACTGCATGGAGAGATTAAGCTATATGAATAAGAAATTCTGAGATGAAATATAGACCCAGAGCAGCATTTTTTCTTAAAAGTGCTTTGCATGCCAATCACTTGTAGCAAACCTTGATTAAAAACTACCACATCAGGAAAACCACTGCTGGAGATACATGAAGGCAGTCAAATGCAAAACCCCCAAGTGATAGATGACTACTTGTTACCAGATCTGCATTCTGTATGGAACTGGAGAAGGGATCCTTTTCTTTTTAGGTGAAAGCCAAACCATCTGGGCTTAAACTGTCCAAACTTTTTAATGACAAGGGATGCGGTCAATGTTGAGGAATGATAAATGGGTGAAGGTGAATGCCTATATTAAATGATTATCAGGTTCGAAAGACTAAGGGAATCAACAGAAACCGGAGTAGGAAATGTATTATTTTTGCTGAGACGATGAGTATTTTTGCCTATTGAAAAAGAGCTAAGAGAAAGGGGTTCTTGTTTTGTGCTAATTAATGATCTCTTACCACAGAATCTGTTAGGAAGAAGCTTTGAGGTTAAATTTGGACTCAGTTGTAGATTTACGGATACAGCTCCGTTGGGTGGGGATTTTTTCTTTCGATTTTTAAAAATTTCTTTTATCGGTGTAACCTCTTAAGATTTCAGAGGAAATTAGCTTGACCAAATAAGATTGAAATGTGTTTGGAACTCCACATGTGAAACAATGTCTGTTTTTCCTTAGCAATATTACTATTTACGAAGTTTAAATATACACTTTTGATTTTGCGCATCTTGGCCAACCATGCATTTCCCTAAATGTGGAGACTTAACTGATAAATGTATAAATGTTAGAATCCTGCCTTTTTGAAGGCAAAAGAAGGAAGAGAAAAAGCATGCATCATTTGGAATTCAAAGGGGAATAATGTTTTGTTTTTCCCCCAGAAAATATTGACTAAGGTCAGAAGGAGCAGTGGATCCTTTATGGTTTTTAATACTTTATAACATTTAGAATGACCTACTTTGGGTGAGCTATATCAGAATTCCTTTCTAAAGATGTAACATCAAGATTCTGGCAGTTGAACTCACATGGTGTGGCACTGTAGGATAAACACTAGATTACTAACTACAAGGCCAGTGGTTCAAGTCCATCAGCTGTTCCTTAGAAACCCTATGTTGTTGTTGTTGTTAAGTGCCATCGAGTCGGGTCCGACCCATAGCGACCCTGTACAGGGTTTCCGAGGGTGTAAATCTTTACGGGAGTAGAAGCCTCATCTTTCTCCCGTGGAGCGGCTGGTAGTTTCGAACCGCTGACCTTAAGGTTCGCAGCCCGATTCGTAACCACTACGCTACCAGAGCTCCTGTCAGGGTTCATATGAGTCAGATCCTACTGGACTGTACTTATCTACAACAACAATTATTCAGAAGATGCCTTAGAGCCTAGCGTGAAGACTTAATGGTTCGTCCTGGCGACCTCTGCAGGGGTCTAGCATGATGGGACCCAAGTTGTCAAAGTCATAATTGTTTCCCAAATATTTGTGATTGACTTGGTAAAATCAAGTATGAATAGATGAACTACCATTTCTCCTTATGCATCTCCTTGTACATCTTTGGGGCACCATGATACACTGTGAATTTTAAAGTATCCCATAATGGCATATATCTACTGCAGCTAGAAGGTAGGCTATATGAGTGTTTAGGAACTGGTACCATGAATGTGTTACATTTATAACAACTAACATTTATTACCACTGTACTTTTTGCTTGGTGGGTACTCTCTAAATCTGCATTATTTCATTTATTGCCATTATGTGCTGTGGAGTCGGTTCTGACTCATAACGACACTGTATATAGGGTTTCTGAGGCTGTACATCTTTATGGAAGCAGAAAGTCTCATCTTTCTTTCATGGAGACTGGTGGATTCGAACTGGTGACCCTGTGTTTAACAGCCCAAAGTGTAACCCACTGTGCCACCAGGGCTCCCTTATTTCATTTTGTCCTAGCAAAAAATTCTTTGTGGGTTATTCTCCTTATTTCACAAACGAGGAAACTGAGGCTCAGAGGGGTTAAATAGCTTGTGAAGATCGTAAGGAAAGAGGCAGATTGGACCTCTTAGTTTTGGCTGATACTAGACAAACAGACTATTTGTTCAGTTAAAGTCTAGACAAAATAGAGAGAAGATAGAAAGATCATGGAGTTAATTTACCTTTTGGGTTTCCTGGAGATCTTTTTTTCCTCCTAAGTCTTTTAGGAGTCCAGTTAGTTAATGTTTGTTAATCACATTATATGAAAGGAAAATCTCCTTATGAGTTCACTTGACCTGCAGGGAGCTTTACTTGTGAGTTAGTTTTATGTATGTACATTAAGAGGGTATGTAATAGTCTAAACTGTACTTTGGATAAAGGAAATAGTCATATTTAGTTTGTGTTGGTCCAACCTTTTGGCAGAAAGGTACCTGAGGCTGAGAATAAGCTTATATCTTATTTCATAACATGCACTAAAAAAGGAAAAAAAAAAAGCTAACCTCGACATATGCTTAAAAAAGATGTAAAATGTTACAGTTGGGAGGAATAAGTGGCACAAAGTCTGCATATAATTACAGTGTAAAAGCTTGAAAAACCCCACAAAATCAACTTGGCCTGACTTAAACTTTTAAGCTCTGAAATGTTTCAAAGGTGGAAGGAGCTCATTTCTGTGGGGTTTTGAGGGTGACAGTGATTCAGCGGTCACAGTAAGCAGAACCGAATAATTGAATTTTCATTTATCACCATCGGTGTAGACCTGAGCATCTTGCCAGAACCAGGAGTAGGTCCAAGAATAACCTGTTTGGTAACTGGTGATGGATAGCGTTTAAAAATTTACGGGCCAAAGAGCCTCAGCTCATCCATTCAAGGGGGAAGGTGAAAAGTTGGACCACTGTCCTAAAATCTAGGAAATCCCCAAATCCAGGGTCGGCAGTTGAGGTTAATATGCAAGTGCTTTATTGTTTAGTTAGAAAGCAAATCATGGCCTTGCCCTTGCCTTACAAAACAGTCTTTTATGGGTCTAAGGAAGGGAGGCCCAGGTTTATTGCTGCTTTGTGTGAAATTTTTATTTTCCTTACTAGAATTATTTTTCCCATAATGTTAAAAAAAAGCATGTTGGTGCGTTCTCTGAAGTACAGCTGAGTCCATTGTGAACAGATAGATTGATTTAAAGTCATTCTCTGGAGCTTTAAGACGTCATCAAGCCCACCAAGTATACCTGAGAAGCGGTACTCCTTCTTAGCCCTTCCTTCTCTACCAAATTGTAGAACAGAAGGCAATAGCGGAAGCCGTTTCGTTCAGCCCAGCACTGGAAATCTGAGAAAACTTTGGAGGCTGGGCCTCAAAAAACCAGAAGTCAGAGCTTAGTTTGGCATACGTTTTGTTCAGCAAAAAACATTATTCTGAGGTTTAAATTTCCTCTTTTAAATCCAGAGGTGCAATGTACAAATGGATCCTTTGCTCATAAAAAGCAAGGTGAAATTTGGTGTTGCAAGAAGTGGGACTCCACCTTCTTGGAGCCAACCAAATGGTGAAAACAGAGGAGACCTTGTCTGCTGTCTTCCACTTTTTTTTTGTTCGTAAAGATCCTCTATCACCAAATAAGTAGCTACTAGCATCATAGATTCTCTTGGGTGCCTTATCTTTATCAAATCCTCATGTTTTTCATCGTGCAAATTAACTGGCTGGAGAATAGATCTCTATTATCTGAACAAGTGTTGGGCACATGTTTGAGGATGAGGGAGATAGCTTTGCATAAGGGTTCAATTTATGTGTGTGTGACACAGAGAGAGGAGAGAAAGCCAGTGAGTGGGGAGTATGTAAGGTAGTCTTGAGATATTCAGAGAAATACTGCACTTAGTATATGTGGTTGTTGTAAAGTGCCTTTGAGTCATTTCTGACTCACCGTGACCCTGTATAGGGTTTCCAAGGCTCTAAATCTTTGCAGGAGCAAAAAGCCTCATCTTTCTTCTGTGGAGCAGCTGGTGGACTTGAATCCCCAACCTTGTAGTTAGCAGCTCAGTGCTGATCCATCTGGAGAGAGGGGATGAATCTCAGTACCAGCTCATTGGGTAGCCTTGGGAATTACATGAGATACAGCATGTTAGGAGCTTGGTCCCGGGCTTGGCGTATAGTAAGCTCTCACAAATGGTTTGTTATTGTTGCTGATGATATTATTGGTTTTTGTTCTTATTTATTCACGTTGACTAGGATGCAAAGGTTCAGCAGAACGGGACAAAAGTATAACTGATAGAGAAGAGGTAGGGATAACAATGCCGAGGCCACC